GGAGGAGGAGGAGGAGGAAGAGGAAGAGAAGGAGGAGGAGGAGGAGGTGGAGGTGGAGGAAGAGGGAGGAGGGAAGAACGTCGCATTCGATTATCAGTTTTTTTCCTGGCGTGGCGTTTAGTTGCCAGCAGCAGATCCTCACATACATGCTCCTTCTACCTGTCCTATGCACGCAGGCACTGTGGTGTACACCAGCGCTGCGTTGCACGCGGATGTTGTGGTGTAGAGAGGCGGCGTGGCGTGCACAGGCGCTGCGGTGCACGCAAGCATTGTGTGGTGTACACAGGCGGTGTGTTGCACGTGGTTGTTCCAGTGTACACATGTACACCGGCGCTGTAGTGTACGCAAGCACTGTGGTGTACACAGGCGCTGCGTTGCACACGGTTGTTGCGGTGTATGCAGGCGCTGTGGTTTACACGCGCGCTGTGGTGCACGCGAGCGTCGTGGTGTACACAGGCGCAGTGTGTCATATCGCCACCTACATACATGAAGCTCGCGTCGTCGTCGTGGTCGTCGTCGTCGTTTTCATCGTCGCTCGTCGCTCGTCGCGTCGTGCGCGCGGGCGCGGCTGTGGTGCCCGAGCCACACGGCGGGGGGCGGGCGTTACGTCATACCCTCCCCACCCTACCCCCATGACGCCCGTCATCGCCGAACATGAAGAAACGCGCTCCTGGGGTCTCAGGGTCGGGTTTCTCGTGGAAAGGGTTCCTCCAGGGTGCCTTGGGTGTCGTGGGCTTCGACAGGTATGCTACGGAACGCGTGGCGTTCCCTCACCAGAAATCTGTGGACGCCCAGGGGTCTCAGGGTTGGCCTTCTCGTGGAAGGTTCTGGGTGCCTTGGGTGTCGTGGGCTTCGCCAGTTCTGCTACGGAACGCGTGGCTGAGTGGACGCCCTCGGGTCTCAGGGTCGGGTTTCTCGTGGAAGGTTTCATCCAGGGTGCCTTCGGTGTCGTGGGTTTCGACAGTTCTGCTACGGAACGCGTGGCGTTCCACACCAGAACTCAGAGGAAACCCTGGGGTCTCAGGGTTGGCCTTCTCGTGGAAGGTTCCTTCTGGGTGCCTTGGGTGTCGTGGGCTTCGCCAGTTCTGCTACGGAACGTGTGGCGTTCCCACACCAGAAATCAGTGGACGCCCTGGGGTCTCAGGATTGGGTTTCTCGTGGAAGGTTTCCTCTGGGGTGCCTCGAGTGTCGTGGGCTTCGACAGTTCTGCTACGGAACGCGTGGCGTTCCCACGACAGAAATCAGCGGACGCCCTGGGGTCTCAGGGTTGGGTTTCTCGTGGAAGGTTTCCTTCAGGGTGCCTTGGGTGTCGAGGGCTTCGACAGTTCTGCTGCGGAACGCGTGGCGTTCCCACGCCAGAAATCAGCGGACGCCCTCGGGTCTCAGGGTTGGGTTTCTCGTGGAAGGGTTCCCTTCGGGGTGCCTTGGGTGTCGTGGGCTTCGACGGTTCTGCTGCGGAACGCGTGGCTGAGTGGACGCCCTGGGGTCTCAGTGTTGGGTTTCTCGTGGAAGGTTTCCTTCAGGGTGCCTTGGGTGTCGTGGGCTTCGACAGTTCTGCTACGGAACGCGTGGCGTTCCCACGCCAGAAATCAGCGGACGCCCTGGGGTCTCAGGGTTGGGTTTCTCGTGACAGGTTTCCTCCAGGGTGCCTTGGGCGTCGTGGGCTTCGACAGTTCTGCTACGGAACGCGTGGCGTTCCCACGCCAGAACTGAGTGGACGCCCTCGGGTCTCAGGGTTGGGTTTCTCGTGGAAGGTTTCCTCCAGGGTGCCTTGGGTGTCGTGGGCTTCGACAGTTCTGCTACGGAACGCGTGGCGTTCCCACACCACAAATCAGCGGACGCCCTGGGGTCTCAGGGTTGGGCTTCTCGTGGAAAGGTTCCTCCAGGGTGCCTTGAGTGTCGTGGGCTTCGATGGTTCTGCTACGGAACGCCTGGCGTTCCCACACCAGAAATCAGTGTGACGCCCTGGGGTCTCAGGGTTGGGTTTCTCGTGGAAGGTTTCTTGTGGGCGAACTCCTACTGCACGAAAAGATCATGACATCGGGGGTCTGGGAACGGAGGGGTGGCGAGAGGTGTGCCCTTCGTGCGCCTCCGAGCGGACCCCACAGGGGCCCCCCTGGGACTTCACAGAGGTGCACCGCTCCTTCGGCCCCCACCGCTTCTTCGGCCCCCACCGCTTCTTCGCCCCCCCCGGCTTCTTCGGCCTCCCCCCCCTGGCTTCCTCGGCCTCCCCCCCCCCGGCTTCTCTGGCCTCCCCCCCCCCTCCCCCAGAGAGGCCTGCTGGACCGCCCGCCCCACCCTGGCGAGCCGCTGTCCCAGTGGCAGCAGGACGTCGTCCAGCGGGCGGAGCAGGCCATCCGCCAGGCGCAGCTGGGCGGCGGCGGGCCCGGCGCGCGGCCGCCCGCCGCGGCCGGCACCCTCGACTTCGCCGCGGACCGCGCGGGTCGTCAGGGGGGGGGGTCGTCCTCGTCCTCGTCCTCCTCCTCCTCCTCCTCCTCCTCCTCCTCCTCCTCCTCCTCCTCCACGCAGACTGCAGCCCGCCGCCCTCAGCCACTCCCTGGCCGCCTGGCGCTGGTGCCACCAGCGGCCAGGGGCCGAGGAGGACCCGCCGAGAGCGACCCGCCACCGCGAGCCGCGCGGGGCGCGCAGTAGGCGCCTGCCACGACGTGGACAGACAGAAATCGCTCGGAAATCTTCAGTCTCTCGTCTCTTCGTCCTCGGTTTACGAGGCTCGGGGGGTTCGGACGTTCCGTCGGTTCTCGGCTGTTCTTCCAGCCTCGGGGTTCTTTCCAGCAGCTGCGCCTCGCCGAGGGCATTCCAGGGGTGCCCGGATCGTCCCGAGCGTCCGAAAACCACGCCTCCCCGCGTCGTTACAAAAATCACGATGGAAGGTTTTTGGCCGTTTGCGGCCTCCAGGGGCCCACGCCAGGCCCCCAACCGTCAGAAATCGAGTCGGGATGAGAAGCCGGTCCGTCGGGACTTCCGGAGGGGCCTGTACTAAAAAATCAGGTCGTCGCATGTCTGGGCTGCCCCTTCCTTCCTTCCTGCGCTGCCCTGAGCGCCCCCCTTCGCTCTGCTCCAGACAGATTCACACAGCATGCCGTGGGCCACCGGAGCGCACGCACCACGAGCTGAGGGTTCCGCCCCCCCCGCACAGGCCCACATGGGCGCCGCCTCGGCGGCACCGCGCGCTCGTCTCGCCTCGCTGGCCTCGCCTTGCCCCCATCCCCGCGAGCGACCGCGAGCACCGGATGCTGGCGGCGCGCGCAACGGGGGGAACTCCTCCCTCCTGCCTCCTGCCTCCTGCCTCCCTCCTCCTCCTCCTCCTCCTCCTCCTCCTCCTCCTCCTCCTCCTCCTCCTCCTCCTCCTCCTCCTCCTCCTCCTCCTCCTCCTCCTCCTCCTCCTCCTCCCCCCCCTCCTCCCTCGTGCGCCATTCTGGCCCTAGAACCCTGCGAGGCCTCAGGCGATGGCCCCATTTTGAGAGGGAGCCGCCCTCCGTCCGTGCAAAAGTTGCGCAGGCCTACGCCCGTGGTGCACTTGTGGAGGACGCCTCTGGCGAACGCCCCGTCCTGGAGACGTAGCGGCTCCCACGCGTGCAACGTTGTCGGAAGCTTTGAAGGGCGAGAGCCAACTTGAGGAAAATTGCAGGCCCTTGCCTTGACTGAAGTCGGGCATGTCCCTCTACAGGAGGAAAATTCAAAAATGGTCAAAACATAGCTTGGTGACGAGGTTTCCACTATTTTTGGGTATTCTTGGTTATTTTTGAGCATATCATTTGTCGTCCAAAATCCGCCTGTAGGGGGACATGCCCGACCCGAGCCTTGACCCGTGCAACTGGTGGAAATCATAAGGGCAGCCTCCACACGGTACAGAAGTCCCCAGCGAAGCGCCTGGCCCGCCTGCTGACGCGCTTGGCGGCGCGACAGGGAGGTGCTGCCTACAAGGAGAAGGGATGGAGGAGCAGGCGGGGGAGGAGGAGGAGGAGGATTTTTTTGAGCTCAGCGCCCGCACAGCCTTCGTGAAAAAAGCACAGCAGCGGTGGCTGGGAAAGCACTGCTGGAAGGGAGGGAGACCTCACTGACCGAAAGAGTACCTCCAGCAGCCCCATGGGCTAGGAGGCACTGGCCACACGACGGGCGACCGCCCCGTGGTCAGAGCAAGAGAAACAGTCCAGCGCCGCTGCAGGGCATACGGTCGGGGAGGGCAAATCCTCCCCCGTGCCTGCCGCGCAACCTGTACAGGAAGGTTGGCCGCCCCCTGAGCAACTGTCACCGCAGGGGAGACATCACCCCACGGCCGTGCGACAGGGGGCGAGGACACCACTGGGCAGTGAAAATGACGGCCAGAGGAGGAGGTGGAGGAGGAGGAGGAGGCGCAGGCGGAGGAGGACCAGCAGCAGCAGTTGACGTTACCGACTTCGAGGAAGATGACACGCCGTAAACAGAAACTTTGGCGCTCCGCGCGGATTTCTTGGCCCCCCTGGTTGCGCCTCCGGCGCCGCCGCTGGCGCGTTCCGCGCGCCAGGGAGGAGGTCCAGCGCAGATCCAAGATCTCCGCGCGGAGCGCTCAAAGTTTATGCTCATGGCGTTGCTTATTATACTTATTCTTCTTATTATTCTTCTTCTTCTTAGTAGTAGTAGTAGTAGTAGTAGTAGTAGTAGTAGTAGTAGTAGTAGTAGTAGTAGTAGTAGTAGTAGTAGTAGTAGTAGTAGTAGTAGTAGTAGTAGTAGTAGTAGTAGTAGTAGTAGTAGTAGTAGTAGTAGTAGTAGTAGTAGTAGTAGTAGTAGTAGTAGTAGTAGTAGTGTTTTTAGTATTCGTATTATTATCATTCTTCTTATTCGTATTATCAGTACTAGTCTTATTACTATTATTATGTTTAATAGTATTCGTAGTAGTAGTATTAGTATTATTCGTATTATTAGTGTGATTATTCGTAGTGTTGGTATGATTATTACTATGTTTATAGTATTGTTATGTTGGTATTTTTTATATTCGTCTTAGTATGTTTGGTACCAACATCATTTTTATTATTTGTTTTCTTCTACGGTTGAGGCGAAGAGATGGAGGAGAAGGCGGAGAAGGGATGGAGGAGCAGACGGAGGAGGAGGAGGAGGAGGAACATCAGCAGCAGCAGCTGGCGTTCCCGATTGCTGATCCCTCCGAGGTTGGCCGAGCCAGGACCGCGCAGCGGCGGGGACCTCGCCCTGGAGGCCCCTCGCGCACTTGGGGGGTTCGGAGCGGCCCCGGCCAAAACGTCTTTTATTGCCCCTTTGGCAGCTGCATCCGTTGATGTGTTCGCCCTCGCAAGAGTGACGGAGGAGGAGGAGGAGGAGGAGGAGGAGGAGGAGGAGGAGGAGGAGGAGGAGAACGCACATCATCGACGACGTGGTAGCGACGGCGGCGAGCGCCCCCACGCCTGAGTCTAGGCGTCATGGCTTTCGTTCCCCTCGGTTGGCAGAGCGCGAGCGTATGCCGTCAATTTAGCAGTGACGAAGCCGCCGTGCTGGACAGCACCAACAGATTTCGAGATTAGTTCATCGGTACCTCCTATGTCACCGAATATTTCAGCCACGAGAGGGTCCTCAGTTGGCATTATGATTTTGATGCGCTTGTCGTTCAGGAGACCCACAAAGTTTTGAACACCGATTATCACGAAGCCTCCCTTCGCCGCGATGGGTGGTCGGCCAAGTGTTTCACAGCGGTGCGTACCGAAAACGGAGTTACCTCATGGGGGATTGCTTACTTTGGTTCCAGAGCGTATTGGCATGGCCTTCCTTGGCCCCGAGCCCTTCGAGATTTTCCGTGGACGCTGTTCGGTTCTCCATGTCGGGCGGATGGTGAAAGGTGTTTTTCTCTTGGGCAACATCGATCCGAAGAATGGTGGCGATCCCGCCGGCTTGAATTGGAGCCTTCTAGCGCGGTTGGGTGCTATTATCAAGCGAGCACGCGTTCCCTTCATCATAGGCGGTGGCTGGAACATCGAGCCAAGCGAGTTGGCCTCTTCAGGATGGACCACTGCGCTTGATGCTACCATAGTGGCGGCCAGCACTGGTACCTGCACACCTGCTGGACGCACGATCGATTTCTTCGTGCCCTCTCCTAACCTCTTGGGTAAGCACTCCGTCAGGACCCTCGAGGAGATCCCCACTTCTCCCCACTCGCCCGTGCTTCTGCGTATTATTGCTGTGTCCAGCGACGTGCAGGTGCGCATGATCAAGGTACCCAGGCGCTTTCCAGTTGCAATCCCTATTGGATGCGAGAGCGAGCCAGATTACAACATCTGGGGCCATGCATCGCAAGTAATCGCAGACAGAGGCTCGATTGATGCCAAGTGGGATGCGTTTATCTCTATAGCTGAATGCGAATGGGTCGGGACATTTCGGATACCCTCGGACGAGGCGGATAAATACCGTGGGCGAAGTATGCCCATCAGGCCCCGTTTCCAGTCTGCTCGGCGCCCTGGGCCTCCTAGGTTCCCGAGGCTATCGGCATTGGCTGTCGGGTGGAAGCAAGTGCATGTGGCGCTTCTGGATTTGGAGGGCTCAGCGTCAGGTATCCGACAAGATCCACATGTGTGTTTCCAGCATCAATAGGCCCCGCAAGCTCTCCAGGGCCCATGTCTTGCCTCACGAGGACCTCTACGTCGGGTGGGCCACTGTCTGGGGCGTCATTGGGCAGGTCCCCGCTGGCCTCATAGAAGCTCCAAGGGGTGGGCCGAAGAGCAGGCCCCACGCCGGCGCCAGCAGTCTGCCGGGCACGTGGAGCGACAGCGGCACGAGCGGATCGCCGCGCGCTCGGCCAGTGGCGCGCGCCCTGGCTGTTTTTTTTTCCGCGCCGCCTGGCGAGCGGCAGCCGGCAGCTTTGGACCATTGCACGCTGCGGCCCGCCAGCTCCCAGGAGCAGGTCGACAGTCTGCAAGCTGAACGGGGAGATTGGTGGAGAGTACATCATGAAAGACAGCCGCTAGACTGGCCCGATGTCCTTGGAGATCGCCCCCCCTGCCTCTCGGTTTCTAATCTCAAAGCTGTCCTTCGCGCGCTCTCCGTCAAGACAGGGGCTGGTTTTGATCAAGTTAGTCCCAGGAATTTCCTGTTCCTGCCAGATCACGCGACCCAGCCGCCACGTGACGTCATCTCGCGCATCGAGCAGAGGCTCGGGCGGCCGCAGATGCGCAGCCGCGCCGTATTTATCATGAAGAGAGCGGGCGGTGTCCGACCCCTCGGCCTGCGTCACGTTTTTTGTCGAGTGCAGCGTCGCAACTTTCGGCATCTCTCCTGGGCCGCCAAGGGGCGGTCGTCCGAGAACTGCGTTTGGATATCCAGTGCCTGGTCTGAGTTTCGCATTATACAGTGACGGCATTCGGGAGCGATGCTGCTCGGTTTGAAAAAGGCGCTGCAGTTCGCTCGGCGCCGGCATCTGCTGCAGGCTGCCATCGTTTCAGTCTTTCCTCTGCGACGGTTTAGGTTATTGGTCGATGTTTACCGAGCCCCTCGCAACCTGGACCTCCGAGGGGCGTGCAGCGAGCTCATCCGCGTGAAAACAGACGGCGGTCCCTGGGTGTACGCTTGCTGCGCTCATGTTACAGTTGCCGCTCCTAGGGCCCCCGGGCAAAATGCAAGCTGCGCGCCATTCGGCGGCATTGTCTATCAACGTTGGCGACGTCGGCCTCCAGCGCTTCAGTGGCGAGGGGCGCGTTGGAGACGAGCTCTGTGGAGCTGCATCGCTTCTGGCTGGTGAGCTGGCAAAAGTGGACATGAGGCTCGCTGCGGGCAAGGGCAGAGCCCGCGGCAGCTCCAAGGCGCTTCGCACTCGCATCCCTCGTGGGCTTTGGAATATTGGCGTTTTTGCTGCGCCGACGGAGGGCAATCTCGGAGTCGACTTCGCCGCTGGAAGAGCCCAGCCCAGGCGCGCCACCAAGGCCAGGTGCATTGCCGCAAAAAAAATGGCGAGGCCGCATGTCCGCTCTGAAACCAGGGCGCGCACGTAGGAGACTACTTGGGCAGGCGAGTCGAGCTGCGCTTGAAGGGGCCACCTCGTGCGGCACAGCGGTCACGGGTGTCAATGGGAGGGGGCGCAAGACTGGGGAGCTTTGCAGGCAAGTTGCAGGACCACGAGCAGTCAGACAGTAGCCTCACGTTGTCCCTGGCGGATGCCCCCAGCGAGGACCTGGGCCCCATCCTCCAGAAGAGCCTCCTGCATGTGGATGCCCACCTCAGGCCCCCATGTGCCCGTGGAGCTCTATCGCAGGACCCTTCACCACTCTTCGGGCCTCTTTGTGGAGGGTAGGTGTCAGGGCCAAATTTCTGGAGGAATGGATATGTCTTGAGGATCGCGTGCTGAGCATTTCTGGGGCCTGCCCCTCGGTTGCAGAGCAGCGCGCGCAGCGCGCGGTGCACCGGTGGCAGTGCAAGAAGATAGCGGGGGACGCTGAAGCACCTGAGTTTGCCGGCGGGGCGCCCCGCGCCCCTGCCCTCTCCATTTTGCGCTCTAGAGTGCTGCCGCAGAAGAAGGGTTATGCCAGATCATGTGCCATTGGTGCGCAGTGGCCCATGGCGAGGCCATGGCAAGCTGGCTATCCCGCGGAGCCGCGCAGCCTTTCGCGTTTGGCCGTCGACGCGCGCGCGCTCGGCACGCTTGCGCGCAGGCACTGCGCGCGCGCGGCGCGCGCTCGCGGTCGATCCGCACGTGTCGCGCGCGCCCCTCGCTGGCGCTGCCAGGCAAGGTGGGCCCCCGCAGCTGTTAGCCGAGGGATGTATTGTGCCGATGTTTTTCTTTTTTCCGCGCCCATCTCACCCCGACCTACCGCAATCCCTGTGGGCCATGGGCATCCTGGCCTGCTCTCTGGGGACGTCTTCCTGGATGGCTCGTGCTTCCAGGGCGATGTCGGACCCTGGGCCGCCCCAGGGCGCTCGGTGGTGCTTCTGGCAGAGGGGCGCAGCGCGTGTTGTGATGAAGCCGTTGTCTTGTGCGGCCCCATGTTTCCTGCGTTTCCGTCCATCAATGAAGCTGAGCTGCAGGCATTGTCGCATTGCCTCAGGCACGCATGACCGCCCAGTGTTGCGCACGCCCGAAGTATGTTCTCGACGGTGTCACTGCGCGCGGCAGGCTTGAATGTACTCGACCGTTCAGTATGCATTTTTTGTTTTGGCGACAGGTCTGGGACAGGCTTGATGATTGGGGGTTCGACGGGGTGTCGTCGCCGCCGGTTTCGTTTGTCAATGTGCCTGCCCATGCGACCCACGCCGATGTTGATGCTGGCCACTGGCCATCTGCGTCAAAGTCGGCAACGACGTCGCCGACGCCCACGCCAAGTGGGCAACACAGGCCTTCTGACTCCCACCGCCTCGCCTCTCTGCCCGCGCGAGGGTGTTGAAGTCCTGGGTGCAGTGGGTGGCGCGTGCAGGGGGCGCGCTCCCTGATTCCTCCCGAGCGAGCCCCAGTTTGTTTTGGTGAAGGACCCCGTGCCCATGGATGTGGTTCCGATTTCAAATGCGGCCTCCAGGGGCTTTCAGGCTCGGGGCAAAGCCCCCCATGCCTTCGCTCTCTTCAGACTCCAGGAGGGAGTCAATCTCGTTGGTTGTTCCCGATGTGGCGTGTTTTCGTCTGCTCGACTTGCCCTGCTCTCCTTTCCGCGCGCGGGTAAACTGCCCACGTGGGCTAAGAATATCTGGAGCAAGCTCCATCGTGGCGAATGCAGGCGCGTCTCGTCGGGCGTTTCGCGCATCCTCCGAATTGTCGCGGTCCGTTCCAATCTGAGTTGGTCATGTTTTTGTAGGAAGTTGCGGAACCCGTGGCTCTCTATGTTTTGCCCAGGAGGAGGACGAGGTGGAAAAGAAAAAGAAGAACAATAATAAAGAGGAGAAGGAGGAGGAGGAAGAGGAGGATGAGGAGGAGGGGGAGGAGGAGGAGCCAGGAGGAGGAGGAGGAGGAGGAGGAGGAGGAGGAGGAGGACCGGGGGGGAGAAGACGGAGGGGTGGAGGAAGAGGGCGGGGGGAGGGGGAGGACGAGGACGAGGGACAAGGACGAGGACGAGGACGAGGAGGAGGAGGAGGAGGAGAAGGAGGAGGAGAGAAGGAGGAGGAGGAGGAGGAGGAGGAGGGAGGAAGAAGAGGAGGAGGAGGTGGAGGAGGAGGAGAGAGGAGGAGGAAGGAGGGGGACCGGGAAGGGGGTAGGGAGATGAAGGAGGACCGGGGGGGGGAGAAGGCGGAGG